ATATCCAATTACATTTGAAATATCCATTTAGGTTGGCACTGGCTTTTCTTTTCCCCGATTCAATTCAGTGATCTTCTCCAAAACCTGCAAAACACGAGGTTTTGCATGGGTTTTCTTCACCCGTTTTGGTTGCTCTTCATTCGGACTCGTCTTCTTTCCTCCTTTTGGAAGACCGGGACCGGTCCGGTCCGGCTCCGGTTCCAGGTCATGACCCCAAGCGCCTGGCGAGCGACCTGCAGTGGGTTCCGGTGCACAAGCCGGAGCTGGGCTATTGGCAATTGAAGCCACGCGGCCGAAGACTGCGGAGGTGGTTTGAGGCGAAAGACTGGGAGCGGAGGTGGGTGCGGAGAGGTGTGTGTGTGTGTGTGTCGTGGGTTGGGGGGGGTTTGACGTTGGAGAGCTAGACTTGCTGGATGGTGGGTACAAAAGCAGTGAAGAACCAGAACATGCCATGCCCTTTGCTACCAAATCTTGAGCGATCAATTTGGGCACCCTCGGAACGCCGAGCACGTCCTTGACGGAGTAAGCCTCTCTCCCGCTTGGTGTGGTCGCAAACTTTCCTGCCTAGGGACAACTGCAGAGTGCAAAGGCAAGTGAACGAAAGCTTGGCAAAGCCAGCCCCCTGTCCAGCTTGATCTGCTGAAGAGGTATTCATTGCAAGTCAACCATTGCTACCGGCTCAGGCTTCGGAAATACAAGCGTGAGGCAGCTGCATAGGCTAACACATCATTAACATGTTCCATCTATAAGCCTCCAATCCCCAAAAGCACCACTGGCTGCCTCAAACTACAGTGCCACCTCAAAAGCACTTTTCAAGAGGACAGCTGACAGAAATCGCTTCGCAAGGAGGAGGCGTCTCAGCCTGAACGACTTGCTTGTTTCAGCCATCACCTCACTTTCTGGCCTTTTCGGCGCTGAGAACTTCTGAAACTTGCACTGAGACACCCTTCGGGGACAGAAAAATAAGTAGAGTCTCTGCTTTCCAAGCTGAATGACAGGATGTGAGTGACTCAGGTCTGAACGGGGAAACGAAACGATGTGGCCCGAAGTAGGGGATGACAGAAGGTAATGAATTGATGATGGTGGTGGTGGTGACAATCACGGCGACGATCACATTGGTGCTAATGCCAAGAAAAGTAGATGTGATGATCTGAAGATGTGGCTGCCACATGTTTTGACCCACGGCCATATACCTGTGGGGCATTCAATCTTGTGGGACACTCTTGAACGACACCTGACATTTGCACGACACTTGTGACGACACTCTTGTGGGACACTATGGGGCACTCTTGTATATAGGACACTCATGTAGGACATTCTTACCTGCAGGGATGCCACCACTCAACCAGCGACACGCGTGACAACACACACGCGTTAGTTTGCCTTCTCCTGACCAGGCATGGCATCACAGGGGCCATTCTCCGAACAGTGCCAATCGCGATGCTACATGTGTGCTTGATCAAGGCATTTTCCCTCGCTCGCGCCCAGCCACACTGCTGCCCAGGAACAAGTCAGCTCGTGCGCGGGCAGAAAAAAGGGCAGCAAAAAGATGAGAGCAGAGGCGCGTATAGCCATGGAACAGCAAGCAGCAATATAAAAAGGCCGAGGCAAGCCTAATCGATTGTCCGGGCCGATGTGGCCCTGTATGTAGGCATAGTTGAAATTTGCCCTGTCGCAGGTCAGAGGTTGGAGGGACCGGGGTGACAGAGGCTCCAGCGCAGGACGCGAGAGCAGGGCCACGGACCTCGCCTCGGTCGCTCCGCTCAGGCCCACACCCGAAACGCCCAGGGCAGAAGGAAAAGAAGAACGGGCAAAGGCCCGGAAGAAAAAGAGGGAGCACAGAAGGGGCGACCGCCGGAGTCGCTCGGCGGAACCGGTCCAGAGGGAGCCACACGTATTCAAAAAGAAGACGATTCAGAAACTTGCGATTCTGAAACTCCAGGCCCATAGATCTAGGATTCCCAAGGACGTATTTCGTATAGTCGAGGGCTGCTACTGCTAGTGTTTCCGAATCCGCCGTTGACCGCACGTGATCTCTAAAGATCGAGGTGGAGGCACGTTGTTCGAGCTCCACCGGATAGTTGGCCCCGTGAAGCCTGGGCCGCGA